ATAAGCAATCTTCCCGACTACTTAAGTATCTGTCACAAGAGGTGTTGTTTTCAGTGTGGCAAATTGTTTTGGAAGGTAATAAAACCGATTAATTTGTCATCTACATACCATTGTTGCGCGTGTCAACAGAAGATTTCACTACCTGAACAGCTAATGTTGCATATTGCGCATTTCACCTTCCTACCACTTGGTCATTATGATCCTCGATGACTTATTACTATAGAATTAGAGCAAATTTAAATTGGTTCAGAAAACCAGTTCGCAAGAGTCAGTTTCAAGGAGGATAATCTTCGCTACAAACAAAGCCATGATAGCAAAAATCGATGAAAATACCTTTTTTATTTTGACAACTTTCAGTCGAAAAATTCGCTGTCACTATTATCATTAATATTCTTCGATACGCCATCTACCATTTTTCCGTTATTATCTATAAGAAGCTTAACTGATCATTACTTTATACTTTTGCTAAGATATTTGCTAACCTTTTTTCATAATTCCAAACTTGTTTGGAAAAAGTTGAGCCAGAAAGTCCTCGCTGAAAAAGAGTTATTTTATAGGAAAAATAAGTTTTTAAACTTTAAACGGATCTGAGAATTTTATCAGTACTTTGCAGAGAGTAGGTAATAACTAGATCTCATGAAAGGTTGAAGAACTAGAGTCCTAAGCTGCAATGTAGGATGTAAATCTATTTGAAGAAACCTGAACCGGTCTGCAGATGAGACATCCTTCTGAACGAAGAATGACAATTACTGGATAAAGCGGACGAAGGATCTTATGAAAAGAATCTATTGATATGTTATTTCAAAATGTAAACTGTTACAATCTTCAAGGATGACCAGCATCTAGGAACAGCGGCCTATAAGTACTGTCTGAACGAGATTTTCGGCTCTGCGTCTGGCTGAATTGAGTATAACACTGTATCACTGTCAACATTTCGAAAAAAAATTACGTACCATGCAAGATACAAAAGAGCAGGAAAAACTTATACCATAAAAGCGTGCCAATCAAGGAATGATTGTCGCTCAGTTAACATTCTACATGAACTATGGCAAAACAATGGTAATCGAG